CAGCAGCACATAAAAAACCTTTGTTCCTCAAACTTTCCTGAAGTAAAGCACACAGTGAAGCAGAACATTTAATGAAATGAATAACGAGGCGAACATTTTCCACTGGCTACATCGGCACCATTTGGAGTATAAACAAATTTACACAATACCTACTAATATTTCAAAGAACCTTGTATTCGATAAACATGACAGTTGCCTTCTACAGTATGCTTATTTTTCTTGCTCTTTACGACTGACAGATGCCCTTTGCCCTTCAATGATAGATATATTTTAAATTGGATCAAGTGAGTTTTCCGGAAGGTGATTTTACACAATAAACAAACATAGGACGTAGAAATTTTATTTACTCCAAATAAATGGTACTTTATATTACTAAATTCTCTCAGACAGAAATAACAATATTCACTTTATGAAATTACACAACCCCCAAAACGATATGCAGAGGTTCTTAAGTCCAAAAATGTCGAGTAGTAACAAAAAGGAAAGAGTTTATCAAGGTACAAAGGAATAAAGAGAGGTTTATTATTTTTAAACAATTACACTTTGAGTGACAATTATTTTTCTGGAAAGCAGAGTCTTTTCACTCTCCTGAAGTTTCCACCAAAGACACCGTAATTCCAAATAGTCTTGCTGATAGCGCAAACTCAAGCTTACGTGAGGAGTGGGGGGAGAGAAAGTGCTACAACTCTAACTCGGTTGGCACAAGCTCACCCAAAAGTGCTTTAAAAACCTGCTCCCAAACATGCTCCCTCCCACCAAGTTAAAAAAAAAAAAAAAGGGTGGTGAATAGAAAATACCAATGGTTTCAGTAGAAGAGAACTCACTTCTCAGGAGGTGATGGTGACGTGCTGCCAGTCCCTGGAAGTGCGTGCACAAGCACCGGAGGTAGCTGGGGCTGAAGGAAGAAAGAGAAACAGCGATCAATTTGCTTCAGGTGCTGGGAGTGAGGGGGGCCTTGGTTCCGGGCGGGCAGGGCGGGGTGTCCGACATAAACACAAACACGCTCTGCGTCCCCGGGGAGGGCGGACCCATGCCACCTCACCATTCCCCGCCCCTGGACCCCGCGGCCCACTTTGCACGGAGGGCCCGTGCCCAGTGTGAAGCAACTCAGCCCCAGGGGAGCTGGAGCGGCATGCAGAGGCCCCACTCGCTATAACGGCCACGGAGAAGCTACGAGGCTCCCGGTGACTCAGTGCGAGGCATGGTGGAGGCTGTGGAGAAAAAGGTGATAGAGTGAAGTGCCTCTCCGCACAGACTCGCGAACGCGCGGGAAGCGGTCTACCCAGCCCTAACCCTGTCCCGTAAGCAGTCGCCGCTCCCACCTTCCGCTGCCGCCTTGAGAAAACCCGGAACGACGGGGGTCACGGCGGGGGTCATAGGGTAAAGGTCTTGCTCCCAGCAGCCTCCGCGGTGGATACGTCGCCATCTTGGATCCGCGGAACAAGAAAATTCATGCGGTGAGTTTTTGGCAAATTTTCCGAAGTCTGGCAGCGGGGCGCGCGGCGGGGGCGGCGGATTCGGGGCCCCCGCGGGG